GGGGAAGCTCGGAGCCCCGATGAGACCTTCCACAAAGCTCGGCTGCCAGACTGTGCAAGAAGTTATGCTTCCCTGCCCTGGGCCCTGGGTCTAGAGCCGAGAACTTGGCTCCCTCAGAAGGCAGCTGGCCTTCCGTTGGGTGGCTGGTCTCTCGGCAGCTGCGCAGCTGCGTTTCTGCTTTCAAGCCCAACCATCTATATACCACTGTGGGGGGAAGGACTGCTGACACTTTCATTAAAGTTACCTGAGACTACTTGGCCTTAGTGGTGATTGCTGCATGAAAAAAGAAAAACCATGGTCAGTGCCTGTGTGATGGGGGTTAGGGGTGGGCAGGCAGCAGAACTGGAAGCAGCAGGTGGAGTGAAGGGCCTGGGTGCTTAGGAAGCCTCCCCGAGGGTAGTAAGCATGCTGCTATGGAGCATTAGGACACACAGGGCAGCAGCAGTCACTCCAAGGAGCTTAAGCTTCCAGCCATCTGGTTTGGGAGAGCAGGCAGAGGCGGAACCAGTCGTGCCAAGCCCAGGGGCAGGGAAGTCTCCAGCCACACCCAGCCTGGCCCTGCAGAGCCCCTCAGTCATAGTGGTTTCTGCTGGGACCAAGGTTTAGTGGTGCTGCCTGGTCTGGCCTTTCTGTTCCCTGCACGCATGGTCACTTAACAGCCACCACCCGCCTTGCACAGAGTATTTGTCCCCTAAAAGGCTGTAATTACTCTCTCTATCCCTACCTTCCTGGTCCTGCTTGAAGACCTTAAAAAAAAATCCTATTGCATCTATTTTTACTAGGAGTTGATATTTCAGGCAAGAGCTGACTGTCTCCAAGAGCAGAGCCCAGGCCAGTGGTGTGGCCCAGGGAACAGGACCATTCACTGCTGCCCAGACTCTAAGATGGTTACACCTCAAAGAGCCCCCACAGGCCTCTTAGTCCAATCCCTTTACTTGATAGATGGGTCAACCGAGGCACACGCCTCTACCCAGCATCCAGAGCTGGTCAATGAACAGCTGCTGGGATCTTGGTGTCTTGATGGCCCCCCCCCCCAAGCTCACTCCCTTTCTGCTGGACTAGACGCAGCCAGACCACTACACGGGTCTGGACCTGGCTGTGTTCATGCGAGCCCGTGGGCTGAGGCCTCCTGGTGTCTCGCACGTACACACTCTGGGCAAATAAAAGACACGATGTATAGAAATTAGAAGAATTTTTTTATCTGCCCCCGAAAGAATGCCCCGATTGCTTTAAAAGGAAGTGTTTCCACGGACTAATGGTGGACTGTCACAAAGAGCTCTGGAAAGAAACAGAAAAGCTGAGGGGGTGACAGACACACCCAGCTTTTGAAGAGGCCCAAATGGCCTCCTGGAGCCTCTGCCATGTGTCCGCAGGCAGGATTGGGGCTGAGAATCATCCCTGGGTGAGAGGGAACTGTCCCACCCTGGAGGGTGTGCAGGTTAGAGCTCAGTGTGACCAGGAGAGAGCCATGCATCACCCCAGTTCTTCCAGTACAGAAAGGCCAGCCAGGGCCATGACAAACAGGCACCCATGTAAATGTTCTCCTAGAAGACAGGGCCCTGTCGCATCTATCAGACGTGTTCAGATTGGAAAGGAAACCAGCTGCTTCGGGAGGCTGCTTGTCTAAGAGCTCCCAAAAGAGGTGAGCCGAGTGCCCTAAGCCAGGCAGCTGGCTGGACATCATGCAGCCATGTGTCCTGAGAAAGGCCTCATGGCTTCTCTAGCCAGTTCAGCTAAAGCAACGAGGGTTCAGTCCACACACCAACTACTCTGTCCCTCGCCTGTGGGTGGAACTGGGCAGGCCTGACCACTAACCCTCCTTAGGGTTTTCACTCTGGAAACGAGCCCGGCAGCTAGATACGTGTAGGTTCAAATGGCCAAAGAGGGGCCTAAGGAGTGGGGACTAAACACGCTAAGGTCCTGAGTAGCTGCCAGCTGAGCTGCCACCAGAAGAGGAGTCACCAGACCAGGGGACTCCCCAAGGGCTCCAGGAATTGAATAACCACTTTTGAACCCATGGCACAGCTCCTGGGGCCAGCATGGGAAATCCAGACCCATCCAGAGGGAAGCAGATGATGGAACTGCTTATTTAAATATACTACCATTTAAATTACGGGATGAGTGCTGCCTTGCTGGGAGGTACTGATGGTTCCCCTCCCTGGGTTTGCTGCCTTGACTCTTATCTGTGGCTTCCTAGTGCCCAGTGAGCCCAACCTCCCCTGCCCTGCCGCTGGGCTCCATTTTCTGGTTTCTATTTTCTGAAAAGATTTACAATGCAGAGGGCGTGGTGATCAGAAGCTCTTTGGAACAAGCTAAGGCGTCTATGACCTTTGTGTTCTCCACTAGACAAACACTCCTGAGCTGCATTTCCCAAGAAGTTGCTGTCATCTGGTAACCAGGAAAAGACACCTGGGGCTCCTGGACAGTGGGTGGTGGCTGCAGGATGTCGTCCTCCCCGGCAGGCTGGCCTCTGGCCTCTGTTTGAGCCTCAGCCCACCTCATTCTAAACCTACCTCCTGGTGATGCCACCTGGGTGCCAGAGGACAGCAAACCCCTCTCCTGCCCAGCTGGCATTACCCTTCCTGGCTACCCTGGAGGTTCCCGGATCCCACCACTCCGTGGCTATTATGAACTGAATTGCGTCCCTCCACCGAATTTGTAGGTTGAAGCGTTAACCCCAAAGGGGGCTGTATTCAGAGATAGAGCCTTTAGGGAGGTAATTAAAGTTAAATGGAGGTCCTAATCCGAAAGGACTGGTGTCCTTATAAGAAGAGGAAGAAACACCAGGGATATCTCCTCTTCTCTCCCCTCCCCCCTTCCCCTCTCCTTCCCTTCCTTCCTTCCCCTCCCCTCCCCTCCTCTTTCTCTGTCTCTGCATGCACACAGAGGAAAGGCCACTTGAGGACACAGTGAGAACGTGGCTGTCTGCAAGCCAGTAAGAGAGGCCTTAGCAGGAACCTACCCTGATGGCACCTTGACCTTAGATTTCTGGCCTCTAGAACCGTGAGAAAACAAATGTCTGTCAGTTCAGGCCCCTGGTCTGTGGTATTTGTGATGGCAACCTGAGCTGACTAGTACAATGACCTTTGGCTTTCCAACCCCTGGGTGTGGAACCAAGCTTGGAACCCAAGTCCTCCCGTTGCTCCTCCATGTTCATGACCCTCTTAGAAGGATCCCACAGTATTGATTGACTACACAGAGGGCAGGGGATTGTCACCTCTGTCATCCAGGCCACATCAGTGAGTTTCTCAGACAAACACATTCCATGTAGCCTCCTCCTCTGTTAACTCGAATCTCTCCCAATTCATGGTCATTCAGAGGGTCCTCCAGGTGACCTAACCGTAGACATAGCCCAGGCATGTCACATGCAGGGTCATCTCATGTTTCAGCCCATGGACTTGCTTATTTCATCGTAGAGGTTCCCCAGGCAATGTCACTCTTTGGGGTCCCAAAGTTCTATGAGCAGCCTCTCCCCACCCCCTCAGCCACTCAGTCTGAAGCGCCCCCCCCCGCCTCATCATTCTGAGGCCCCAACTCAGGGTCTTGGCCTGAGCTTCCCAGGCCAAGCAGGTGAGGAGCAGTAGTGTCTAAGAGGTTGGGCAGGACTGACCCAAAAACGAGGTAGGGGTGGCAAAGCCTCGGGGTACAGAGGATTTCTTAACCCACGATGGAGCAATTTCAAACTGGGAAAGAAGGCTGGCTGCTGGAAGGATTGGTGTGCCCGAAAAGGGCGTGCGTGCTATGGCTGTTGGCCTGGGTGGTGTATAGCCACCGCTCTCAAGATGTTCAGAACTGAAGCCACGTGCCTGTCCCAGCTGGACCATGTGATCCCTAAAGCTGGCTCATGGCCATCATCCCCTCTGTTTCTCCTTGTGAGAGCATCCCCATGTTCAGACAATCCAAGGCCTTTCAAAGGGGAAGTGGCTATTCTATGATCCCTGTCATGGGTAAATGGTGTCCCCCCCGCCCCCCCAAAAAAAGACATGTCCACTTGGAGCCTCATCATATGACATTGTTTGGAAAAGGGTCTTTGCAGGCATCATTAAGGTAAGGATCTCAAGATGAAATCATCCTGGATTGGTGTGGGTCCTAAGGCCAATTATGAGTGTCCTTGCAAGAGGCAGGAAAGGCACAGAGACACACAGGAGAAGGCCATATGAAGATGAAGGCTGAGACTGAGGTGTTGCGTCTACCAGACAAGGATCGCCAAGGATTGCTGGCAGCCTCCAGAGGCCAGGAGAGAGGCATGGAACACATTCTCCCTCAGAACCTGCAGAAGGAACCAACCCTGCTGACACCTGGGTTTTGGACTTCAGCCTCCAGAACTGTGAGAGACCCATTTCTGTTTTTTTAAGCTACCCAGTTTGTGGTCACTGGTTATGGCAGCCTTAGGAACTAATACAGTCCACCCAGCTAGTAAGACAAGACACTATGGCCAGATCCTGGTTCTCCAACTCCCACTGCTGTCCTCCCACTGGCAAATACGTTCCTGCTCAGAGCATGGATTGGTCCCTCTTGTGTCTGGGGCCAGAGACCGAAGGGCTGGGGTTGGGGGTGGGGAGACAAACACAGGGGTCATCTCCACACACCACACCTAATCCAGCCTGGGGGCCTTGGCTTCTGTCCTCCAACTTTGCCCACAAAAGGCCCTGAGAAAGCAGAGAGCATCTCCTGTCCCCTCAACACGTTGGCCTCGGCCTTTTCCCCACCTCTGCAAACATAACCCTCCTCTGCTCAGAATCCCATTACTTCTGCCCGTAAACACACTCAGTTCATTTCTTGCTCCCAGAGCAAGAGGGAAAGAAGAAACAGCCCTTTTTTTTTTTACCTCTCCAGTCTCCCTAGCTATAGCCCTTCATTCTTCTCCACAAAGCTCTTGGGAAGGGCTGCCTATCCGCAGTCACACTCTTACCGCCCATTTGCTTTATGTCCAGGTCAGCCTGGCTCTGACAGGAAGTCCAGGGCCCTATGTGACCAAGCCGATAGTCACTCCCAGCACTGACTGCCTCTGACACAGCTACCTGTCCCTCCGGCTGGCCCCCCTCCCCCTGGCTGCTGCAACAGGCATGACCTGCTGACCAGTTTTAAATGAGTTTCCCAGGGTGGTTTTATGTTTTCTCAATAGGTTTGTCTCCAGATCTTTCTAGAACCTCTCTAAACTGCCTTCAGGTTTTCCCGCAAAAGCAGTGTTATTTACTTGGAGCTGTCCTTTGAGTTCAGAACAGGATGTTGATGCACTGTTATCCCCCTCTTTTTACCCATTTACTTAAAATTTCCCCAGAGTGAAATTTACCCTCAAAGGGGAAATTTTTCCAAAAGGGCTGCAAGTCCTGAAAATGATTCTCAAAGGGGAGATGCAGGCAAGTTCAGAGCCTTGGGATGTGTGCAGGATTTCCAGGAGGCTCCTTTGCAAGCGGAGCAACACCAGCTGGGGTCGTATACCTAGGATTTAAAGGCCAAATCTTAGAAGACTAACTTAGCTCTCTGAGCCTCACTTGTAAAACAAAGACTCCATTAGACACTTAAAACTGGGAAGTGCCGGACACAGGCCGATGAATATTATGTAAGCCTCAGGCATATTATATTGGAATCCCTTTATCTGACTAGTCCCTGCTCTCCCGTGTCCCCACCATGATGGTCCCCAGTACTGGGTGGAGTCAAAACATGCAAGCTAGACAAGGGTTATTGCTTTCAGGGGATGGGGACCTAGACACTGGGAGATGATGAGAAGAACCATGTCCTGAGCCCTTATCACATGCCAGGCCCTGCCCTTGGGATGCTTACGGTCTCCAAGTCACTAAATGACACTAAGCGCATCATTACTGTTTATTAGCCATGCGATTGCCATGTGCCAATGGCTTTGAAGAGAAGTGTGATGTGCAGAGGACACTGGAAAGAGTGGGGACCTGTTATTTAGTCCCCCAAGACCCCTGACTGGTATGGGAGCACTGACATTGTTCACAGAAGAACTGGAGGCACAGAGAGGTTGAGGATATATGCTCGCTGTCACACAGCTAGTGGCTGTCTGAGCCAGGGTTTGAGCTCAAGCCCGAGGACCCACAAAGCAGGCACAGAGAAGCACTGGCTCACCACTCCCTTCTCGCTGGCCTCAGTTTCCCTAGATGTGACATAAGAGGGTCTCATGATGTCTGATCTCTGTAGGCCATGAGGGAGGGTTGATGCCTTGTTCAGAGTTACCCTGTTCCTGTATCTTTTCTGGGCCACCTGCAGTCCATCTGGGCATCCCAAGGAACTTCTGGGGATTTAGCTGTGGTCACAGGGCACATGGGTTCCTCCCAATGTGAGCAGCATGGCTGTAGGAGACAAACAGCCCATCTCTGCTTGCAGACACATTATCACTTGGCTGACAGCTGTACATTTCCGGGGACCCAGTGCTCCCCTGGCTCCAGGGGAGGCATGTCAAGAATCCCAGCTTGATGTCCTGGTACTCTGAGCTGATGGCTTGCTAACTGTTGGGAACAGTTGTTTTCTGATTAAAACTTGGCCTGCAGCCCCTGCCTGTCTGGCTCCTCCAGCTGTGGTGCAGAGCAGCTGGGCCCGAGTGGGGCCGTCAGTGACTGGGGTGGGTGTCAGGATGAGCTGAATGCATCATCGGGAAACCAGAGGCACTGAGCTCAAGGGCGCTCAGTGGGGTGCGGGGCTCAGCCCATCTCAGTGGTGCTGAGACCCTAGCATTGCAGGGCTAGCATGAATGGAGGCGATCAAAGCGTCCCAAACCCTGCCACTTGATAGCTGTGGCCAGGTGGAGTCTGGGCCCTGGGAGGAGCTCACACACTGATAGACGGCCTCCTGCACAGGCAGTCGGTCACGTGCTCCAGACCCCCTCCTGCTCCAGGCCTGCTCCTTCTGCCCCTCCAGTTCTTGGGAGCCAGGGAGGATGATCAGGTACAGGGGACAAGGCAGGGGTGAGGCTGATGGGACCGCACAGATGCCAGCACTGAAGCCTAGCCACAGACTGGCATGAAATCCAGACAATTCTGTGTGCCCCACCCTCAGATCTGTCTCCTCCCCTTTGACGCCATCACCATCTCAGACCTCCCAGCCTCCCCTGTCCCCAGAACTATGAACAGGTCCCCTGACTGCTAGGGCTGCCCTCCCCATCCTGTGCATGCCACCAAGCCAGTCTTCTTAAAGATGATCTCACAGCATGTCACTTCCCTGTCCTACAGCTACAGTGACTGGCCCCTGTCCACACTATAGAGCCCAAGTTCCAAGGCCTGGTGGGGAAGCGGTCTCTGCTCTGCCCCCACCCTCACCCTCACCTTTGCATGCACAGCCGTGCCCCCTGCTCTGCCCTGCGCCTTCAGTCTTTGCTCCCTGAGGAGGCCCTGTCTGTCTTCACTTCCTTGCTCTTCCTCTACTCTCCCTGCTGTGCCCTCTCCTTATGGAAACCCTACTCAAATGCCACCTCCTTCAAGGATCGGCTGATTTCTCCAGGACACCTTAGCAGCATCTCACCTGCCACCTCAGACAGACAAGGCTCTTAGAGGCTCCCTAGTCTGGTTGAAGCCATCTCTTCCCCCTCCCCAGCCTAGGGCACAGGGGCGGGTTCCACAAGCCTGTTTGCAGCTCAGAAAACTTCAGCAGCCTCCTGTTTGGTGGGCAATGGCTCTTACGCTTTGGAATTTCAATGGTGGAAAATTCAGTTTAGTGGTTTGGCTCATTAAAAGTACTTTGCTGTGTACAAGAATGTTCATAGGAACTTTATGCCTAACGTTAAAAAGGTAATTTTTTTTAAAAGTAAAATATAAAATAAATGTGTATCAAGAAGTTCTCTTAGGGCCGGCCGAGTGGCACATTGGTTAAAAGCTGGCTTGGGATGCCAGAGGGCCCCAGTTCGGATCCCACATATGAGGGCTAGTGACACTGCCCTCTACAGCTAAGATGCTGAACAACAGCTCGACCTGGAGCTGGGCTGCCATGAGTCGCTGGCGACAGCGTAGGCTGCAACCCCTGCTGCAGTGGGTTGCCATGGGCTACCGTGTGTAGCCAGCAGCCAGCGTGAGCGGCCAGCAGCTGCAGTGAGCGGCCGTCCAGAAGCCGGCGACTGATCTGCCTCGCCTGGGAAGAGCACAATGATGGTGCCAACTTGGGCCAGTGAAGCAACGTCCTCCACAACTAGACTGAAGAACAAAAGGACAGCAACTTGTCTGTTCCCCTTCCCCCAATTCCCCAGCACTGTTCCCATCTCAATTCCCCAATTAAAAAAAAAAATTCACTTAACTCCTTAAATGAAGGGACCAGTAAAATGTTACCAACAGTTCAAAGGAGAATTCAAAAATCAGACACATTTGTAGATCAAAAAAATTGAAATAAACTTGCAAATAGAAGCAAAACTGGCTTTTCCACTGTGGGGAGGGTTGTCCTCAGATAAGAATTATTTGCATGTCCCTAGAAAAGAATCATTTACATTGACATTAGTTTTCTACAACTTATAGAGTATAAAATAGCTCAAAGACAAGAAAAGGGCCAGAGCCCCCACAGAATCAGAATGATAACCTAGAAGGGTGTGTTCCAGGGATGCATAGCTTTCCATTGGAGACACCAGGACTCTATTTTGCTTCATCCAACTTTCTTCCTACCAATAGTTTATAACTTGAGACAACCCAAATGTCCATCAATAGAAGAATGGATAAACCATGGTATGGCAAATTCATACAATGGACTACTACACAGCAACCAAAATACTATTCATTTTGCCACAGACACATGCAACAAGATAGACAACTCAGTGTAATGTTGAGTGAAATAAGGCAGAACACCCTCCCCCCAAAATAAATACTTGTAGTAGGCTGAACAATGGCTCCCAAAGATATCAGGTCCTAACCCGTGGAACCTGTAAATGTTGCCTTATTTGGAAGAAGGGTCTTTGCAGATGTGATAAATTCAGGATCTTGTGATGGGGGAATCATCCTGGATTATCCAAACAGGCCTTCCATGCCATCACAAGTGTCCTTATGAGAAAGCATCAGAGGGAGATTTCACATACCCACCCACAGAGGAGAAGCCATAGATGGAGGCAGAGATTGGAGTGATGCAGCCACAAGAGAAGGAACACCAAGGAATGCAGACAGCTCGCAGAAGGTGGAAGGGGCAAGGAATGCATTCTCTTCCAGAGCCTTCAGAGGAAGCTCAGAGCTGCCGGCGACACCTTGATGTCCGACTTCCAGTCTCCAGAACTGTAAGACAATACATATCTGTTGTTATAAGCCACCAAGATAGATGTAATTTGTTACAGCAGCCCTAGGAAACCAATACAATATGATTCCTTTTATTTAAAGTTCAAAATCAGTCCATACTAATCTTGAGTTAGATGTCAGAATGGTGGTTATCTTTGAGAAGGATGTATTATTGGGGGAGGGGGTAAATGGGGGAACTGCTAAAGTTCTTGTTTTTGAACTTCACTTTTTATATTTCATTGAGTCATACATTTATTTTGTGCCCTTTAATATATATATATAAAAAATATCTTTTAATGGTGTCTGTTGCTTGTCAGTAGCAAATGGGTGATGGCAGGTGCCTGGGACTAGGCAGTTCTGTTCTGTTTCTGCCACTTGCTATCTGGGTGGTCTTAGGCAAATGAAATAACCTCTTTGAGACTCAAATTTGTCTTCTGTACAGTTCTTACAGGGTTGGCATGAGGATTGAGTGATGTTGAGTTCTCTTTGAACTGTAAATGCCTAGACAGATATAACATTAATGCCCTTCACATTTACCAGGCTTTTTTTTTTTTTAAGATTTTATTGGGGAACTGGGAGAGGGGAACAGTGTTGGGGAATCGGGGAAAGGGAGCAAACGAGTTGCTGTTCTTTGGTTCATCAGTCTAGTTGTGGAGGACGTCGCCTCACTGGCCCATATTGGTATTATCATTACGCTCTTCCTGGGTGAGGCAGATCAGTCGCCGGCCTCTGGACGGCCACTCACAGCAGCTCTTGGCAGCTCACACTAGCTGCTGGCCGCTCATGCTGGCTGCTGGCCACACATGGTAGCTTATGGCAGCCCACTGCAGCAAGGGCTGCAGCC